TGTTTACAAGCATGATAGCTGTACTTTTAGTTTATGGTTGACGCAGCTTGTTGGCCATTAGCCAATTGGCGTTTCCCAATTATTTCAAAGCATGTGAATGCATCCAACTGGTATTTACAACTTCACAACTGGTAAATTCCCAACTCCCACATGGTTACGAATGCAGCTTTATATTTAATATATTGGGTAGAAACATTTACCATTATAATAGGTTATCCACACATGTACCCTAAAAGGTACTGACGAGTACCATGTGAGTTCCAGTACCATGTGAGTTCCTATGTGTACCTCTAAAGGTACCGAATGTGTACCTTTGACCTTTTTGTACACCAGGGAACAAAACTGTACCCTAACCATCCTCTTATTTGTGAGACTGTGTGGATATACACTGAGTATACAAAACATTAAGAACACGTGCTCTTTCCATGACATAGACTGACCATCTGGTGGCACTGCTGAGACATAAATGCACTCCAGACCAAAAAGTTGCCAGCTCAAATTCTGAGAGCATTTACGCACACTGAGGGCTCGATTCTATCAGATCTGTGCTAGCGGACACCCGCATAGTAGTTGTTTTGGCAGTGTCAGAGGCGGAACTGCGTTAGCGCTGTCAAATCCACAAGCATCTCCCGGCATTAAACCTGAAACGGAAATTGTCATTGGCTGCACGGAGCTGCATTAAGAGAAATCCCATCCAGCCTTGTTTACAAGTTGGAACAATGGAATGTGATATGTAATTGAATGCGATTTTCAATTTGAGTGTCATTATTTCTATATAGCCTACACTTTCTCGTTCTGAACTGCTAATGCGGGTAGGACGTGGTGGTTTCGTGACAATGACCACATGAGCAGCCGTTCACTGATTTGACAGGTCTAATGCAGTTACACCTCCAACACTGCCAAAACACCAGCTATGCAAGTGTCAGCTATCACGTGTTTATGCTTGATCTGATTGAATCTAGGCCTTAATGTCAAGTGTCCCTTAGCACTGCTACTTTTTAGTTGGTGTTGTCAGATAATCGCACAATTATTGACTTTCCGGGCAACTTTTAACAAAGTGCAGAAATGTATTCTTGCCAATATATCTTGGGCTATCTCTGTCATTCCCACAGACCTGATGGCGAAGCAGGAAATGTAGGTTGCTGTCTTCTAAGAGGTTGTGAGTTCAAACCCCCAGGTCAGGTTGCGTCCCAAGTGTGCTTACCGATGTTGAGATCAATTCCATTTATGTTCCAGTAAATTCAGAAAGTAAACCCAATTCCTAGTTTTACGGTATTGAAAATAATTTAATTCGAATTATAATTTCTGTGTACTTCCTGAATACAGTTAGTTGTTGTATATCTACTGACAAAATACAGTTCAGCTGTAGAAATACATTACAAGTTGTTTCCACTATTTTCACCGCAACTCAGTAGCTGTTAACGTATTATAAAATTACAGGATAAAAAAAAAACAGTTTACGCCATAAGCGCATCTACGTTTAAATGCAATTGCAAGTCAGGCATACCAAGTTAATTTGCAGGATGGGCCAAATAGTACCCAAGTGCATTGCGATTGACAGTAAATAGGTAGCAAAACTCTAATACATTATACTATTACTGTAGAAATGTACCTTATAATGACCACAACATTTACCACAAAATTAACAGCAATGGCTAACAGTGTAGTTTCATGTTATCACATGTGGAAAATCGCATGATTTCACGCATGAAACGTGAAATGTCACAAGTGAAATCATGTGAAAACGTATTTTTGGAACACTTCACATGTGACATTTCCCGGTGCTTTGACTAACCACAGCCCCCTCACACATCCCGGGCTGTGCGCTCATATGGCCCCACGGCCACCATCCCACTTCTGACACCTGCGTAGAGAACGGAAGGAGCGGGAAGCGAACCCGGGTCTCAGGCATGAAAGGCAAACACCATAAGGCTAACCCACTTGATTGGAATTTTTTAAAAGCTCATAGCGAGGATCGATACGATATATATTATGGTATATCCGACCTTAGAGACCATGTCTTGTCTATTGCACAACTTGATTCTATCTCCAATAAGTTATCCATATAGCCTAACTACTGATACAGAGTCAGCTACCTTTTCACTCCCCTGGTGATTAAGGATAGTATGGGAGTATGGTAATCCTATCCTAAATCTGTGGTACAGTAGCCTACGAGTCGTCTCTCCGAAATTCTCTCCGGTTTTGATGCGTGTGGAGGAGGAGCCAAAATGTTGAAGAGTCGCGCGTTTCGCTCGAGGTCTCAGAGGGATTAGGCTAAATTGAAAAGGTGTCAGACCAGGTCTTCTAGCTCGGACGGTTCAGTCGAACTGTCTGGCGAGGATGACATGATTTTATTGACTGGCAGCAAAACAAGGATTAGGAAAAGAGCTGAATGAAGTCAGAGTTAGACTTTCAACCACTTATCAGAAAGTCGTCTGGATATTGTTTCGCTAGTAACGTTAGCAGCATAACTTCTTCATACACACAGCTTCCGTGCGGTCTGTTTCTTGAGCCTCGGCTCCAAGCACCTGACAAACTGGCTGAGCGGCACTCTACCCTCCTCCAATCCTCTTCACCAGCGACCGGACAACCTGTGAACACATTTACTGGTACGATTTTCTGTAGTTGACCTCTTAGTTTGTTTATTATTGAGCGGTCTTGGAAGACCACAAATCAAAATCGTAATAAAAAATTTGCAAATTTGCTACAACTTGTCGAAAAAAAATAGCCTAAAGCTAACTAGTAACAGCGTCCGACGTTCTATTAATTAATTTTATTCTATCTAGCTAGATCTGCCGGTATTATATCATATTCGGTTCTGTTCTATTCTGTTAATTTTTTCCTATTCTATTGGGGTTCTATTCTATTCCTTTGAAGTGTAGCAGGGTTTTCAAACCTCTCCTCGGGGACACACAGCCTTTCCATTTATTTGATCTAATGTTACTGTACCAGTTAGTTTTCCTAACTACAGGGAAGCCCTCTAGCTATAGCAGGTCTGTGTTTGTTTACATATGTTCATGTGCCTCCCTCAATGGACAGCTGCTAAGTTTGTTATGATGTATGATGTTGTTATGACACCCTCTGAACTCTGTGTACTGAGATTGATTGCCTTGGTGGCAATCAAGAGGACAGTCATTTACTAGCTGGCAAGGAAGGTGACTGAGTCTGTGTCACATTGACATGCATGGCATTACCAGCCACTAGCTAGCCAGAACAGAAATCGTATAGGCTAACTTCTGAATGGAATAAAAATGGATTCATGATTGCTGCCTTACATGATGCCTCCTACCTTCACATACATGTAGCACCTATCATTCCATATCATCATAGCTAATATGATGTGATCTGTTATTTTACTTGACCGCGTCTACTGCCTATTATTGTGTAGCCTATACAATGACAGGATACGTATTAACTTAGCCCCACAACCTGATGGTAAACAGAAGCCCTGCTGTAGACAGAGACACACCAATAACAGTCCCTCCGGCTAACAACACATTGTGGTGCCAGACATTATGTCCCAGCACAACCTTTCAGAAGAATGGGAGATAATTGAATATAGTTTAATAGAATGGGATAGAGTAGAACAGAAAACGTTGTCCTTCAGAAGGACATTTCTTTGTAAAGTCTCGCAAGTGACACACAAAAAAAATAAACATTCAGTTGGAGAGACGATGTTGTCGTGTTTTAGCAACTACAGTTTGCCTCCCAGCTCCGTTCGCCCAGAAAAACTCCTATTTTAATTGGATCTGGGTGGCTGCAGCTCTGTGTGTGATCTCAGATATGCCTCATTCACTTGCAGCTGTACACAACCCAAAAACCAGCCTAATGTATTTTTCTCCTAAAACATTTATCCTAGATATGTTTTGTCCCCTAAGTGCTGCTGGCTGTGTCCCCTGTGATGGAGAATTCAGGGGATGGTATTAAGATGCGGTCACTTCTGCCTTCCAGGGTACGTCCCAAATGTCACCCTATTCCCTATATAGTGTACTACTTTTGACCAGGGCCCATAGGGCTTTGGTCAAAAGTAGTAGGCTTACACTATGTAGGGAAAGATGACATTTGGGACGGAGTCCCCAGTTTCCTTCTGGGGAAAAAAGTTTGCAGCTTTTTCCCAGAGAATTGGCAGAGTTCCAGACAGCTCCTAGTGAAAAAGACACATCCTAGAAGTTGAAGGAGTTAATGAGTAGTATTCCGACATGGAATGATCCTAAGATAACATTCCATGGTGAATAGGCTTCCTGAGTGAAAGAAAAACAAACACATTAGATTGGTTTTAGAGAGCCACCCATCCTTAATTATGTTGTAGTTACAACTTGTAATAACACAGTTATAACACAGACTATTTAGAGTGATTTATTACTTGATAAAGTCCTTTGTTTATCCATTGCTGTATATTTGTAATGCAGTCTAGAAGTAGCAGTGCATCAGCTCCTCACTGTTTGAATAGTAGTAAATGCCCAGCTCATGATGACATGTCTCTGTGTTCTAATGGTAGGTTTTACTGTTTCAGGTTGGCCGAAACAGAAGAGAACCCGACACACACCTTGCCCTAAGGACAATTCCAGGCAGACTCCATTTGATTTACATCAGGACAGACAACCAGGCCCCACACACAAACACACACTCTGGAAACCAAGCAACCAACAGAAGGCAGAGGAACACAGCCTCTAACAACCAACTACCCCGCCTATCCTATCTCACCATCTCACCCAGTTGATGCCTAGCCTAGCCTAACCCAGGCCTGGAGATAAAAATGTGGTCTGCTGGCTGTTCTGGTTGATTCCTATCTGACTGACACAGGCAGACAGACTGGCTGGTTTGGGCGTTTTGTGACGCTCTTCTGAACATTCATCATCATTGTGTATCTGAAGGAATCAACATGCACCTGATTGGGTAAGGTTGAGGCCTCGACTGCCAAGGACCGCTTAGACGCGGTTGAGACAACTGACCTCGTAAGGACCGTGTGTGGTTACTGGTCACTGGTGTGGTGGTCAGTCATGGGTAAGGAACAGGACCTCCTGGTGGCAGTGAAGAGTGGAGACATCCTCCTGGCACACAAACTCCTGACCAAGGTTAAATGCAACAAAACCAGTGAGTAACTAGACACACACACACACACATCTGCTTTCCCTTTAAATTCCTGATGCAGCCTGTGTGTGCCTGTGTTTGTGTTCAGAGCATGTGTATCTGTTGGCTTGATGTAATGTACAGAAGAAACAGTGATAGCCCGTCCCTTATCTGAGTGATATTGTTCTCTGTATCTGTATCAAGGGAACACTTTGTATTTAAAATAGCAGTATCAGGTTCAACCATCCACCACAACCAATGATCCATCTAGCGGTCGGACAATTTGAAGTTAAATGTAGTCAAACCCCCAACAATATGACCTAATCTCCAAAACACAGACGCTGGTACTGTACAATATGTCTCAGGGTGTGTGTCTCGAATGGCACCCTATTCCCTATATAGTGCACTACTGTTGACCAGGGCCCATAGGGCTCTGGTCAAAAGTAGTGCACTGTATAGGGAATAGGGTGCCATTTGTGATGCACCTCACAGTGTGGGTATGGAGCTTCAGTGTTGCTTATCTCTACAGATTCCTGTCAAACTGCTCGCGAGGCTAGCCTACTGTAGCATTGTGGCTAATTACAGTATTCTCCTTATCCAGGCCAGGAGAAAGTTAAACCTCTCTCTCTCTCTCTGTGAAACCTCTTTGTTGTTGTTATCTGCCTGTGCTGTGCTTTCATCGTGGCTGCTGTTCTGCTCTGCTCGGTGGCAGGCTCAGAGGAACAAGGGCCTGTCAGTAGCACATAGGGTTAGCGCTAGCCCTACACATCATGACATGCTGCTAATGCCTTTCAACAGTCAAACACTCATGGGCTAAATGTTTCAATGCTCGGGAAAGGAAATTAGTGGCCTAGTTGTTGCATTAATTTCTTCATTTGTAGGGCTGGGAATTGCCTCACAATATTATATTTTCATGAGATTTAGGTGCCGACATGATATGTATTGCAATTCTTATGATTGTCACGATTCTATATGTATTGCGATTCAATACTGGGATTTTATTGCGATTCGATGTTCCAAATATATTACTCACCATATGTCTGCTGGACAGGGACAAGAGAGAGCCATGAGATTTTTTGTTGTTGATCAGTCATGGTAATAAAAGTGCTGAAAACAAATTGGCTACCTTTTTAAAAAGAAGATGGAGAACAAGCTATGAAGAAAAAATACTGGACTTCTGGTGCAGGCACAGCAAACTAACGCATAAATAATATCACGATATTGTCAAAATGATACATTTACATTTTAGTCATTTAGCAGACGCTCTTATCCAGAGCAACTTACAGTTAGTGAATACATATTTTTTTTATACTGGCCCCCCATGGGAATCGAACCCGCAACCCTGGCGTTGCAAACGCCATGCTCTATCAACTGCTCTACATCCCTGCCGGCCATTCCCTCCCCTACCCTGGGCCAATTGTGCGACGCCCATGAGTCTCCCGGTCACGGCCGGCTGCGACAGAGCCTGGATTTGAACCAGGATCTCTAGTGGCACAGTTAGCACTGCGATGCAGTGCCTTAGACCACTGCGCCGCTCAGGAGGTTAACACGATATATCATCCAAAATAATATCCCAATATGTAACTGTATCGATTTTTCCCCCCATCACTATTCATTTGCAGTGTGATTTATTTTACTTTACCAACTTTCCGGATGTAATGCATTAATCAAAGTGAAATTAGCCTAGTTTCACTCTTGGAATATGCTTGTGTAAGTAAGTACTCTACCCTGACTGAAAAAATAGGGTACGTTCTGATGCTTTGCAATGCTCAGTCTCTAATATTTTCCATTTGTAAACGAGTAGTTTGGTACCTCAGGACAGTAAGACTTAAAATATGAAGGGCTGTATTTTAACAAACCTGACGCGATGGTAAATCTAAGCGCAGGCGGTAGCGCTATAGGATCAGGGGTGTGTCAGAAATATTTTTGCTATTTTCACAACTACAATTATCGTCGCAAAAGGCCTGGGTTTTCATGAACAAACAAGTTGTGGGTGTGTTGAGGCTTGGCCCCTCACTGGCCAATCAAAACGTGCTCCATGGCTAAATATGTGGTTGCTTGAAGTTGTGTATTTACGGTCTTTTATGTATTGCCTTGGAATCAACCCCAATTCCAATGTTAGTCCGTTATAGTTTGTTAAATGGCTTACAGAAACAAAATAACAAAATGTGTAGACCTATCCCATCTTTGCTAAATACGTTAACTAGAACCCATTTGCAGTCCAAATTGTTCTAAGTAATTGCATGGCTTCAATAGCATTCACACTGATATAGGGACTAGGCCTACTGTAAATTGCATTATGGCTGAGCATGTATATGCCGAACATTGTCAATAAGCAAGATTAAATTCATTATTGATAAGGCCTAAAAAGAGAACGAATAATTCAAATCAAATTCTAAACAAAATGAAACAACAAGTTGTTTTAAATAGGTTATGTCTAAATACACTTACAGGCACCATAGTTTCTCCCTGTGGGCATATAATATTAAAACAACGCAGATTATGGAGGGTTTTATGTACAGTACATCCAAACTTTTCACAGTAGCTGGATCCAATATAGATCCAATATAAAGAGAAAGGGAGAATGTCCACTCACTGTTATACTGCTCCCAAATATGTTTTATGAACATAATCGGAACCATTTTACAGATCAGATCGTATTCACATATCTCCAGGAGTTGCATTGCATGCGAGCCACGGAGTTGTCACCATAAAACCAGGAAGGTGAATCATTCTAATAAGTTTGGTTGTAATAAAATGTAACGAAAAACAAGCAATCAGTTTAAAAAAACAACAACAACAACAACATGTATAATGTAATGATATCATCAAATTGGCGGGATAAGAAAGAGGCGCTGTTGAACCAGGACAACAACAAAAAGCCTTCATTGACGATATACAGGAAGTAGCAGGAGGGGAGGCTTCCCTTGGTTTTTAATCAAATAAAAAATAAATGGGAAAAAACATTAGTTTTTTATGTTTCTAAATACGAAGTATGCAGGCACAAAATGCTAATTGGGATTCTCTTGTTCCATGCGCATATGGGCAGTGTGCATCATGGCTGGATAGGCTGTGTTTCCGCTGTCAAATGTCATGCCATAACCAACTGCTGACGCTAAAACCAGCTTTTGGTTGGTCTTAAATATCCCTATCAGTGTATATAGCTCCGCAGTGATCTGGTACTTCTACTCCCTGTATATAGCTCCACAGTGATCTGGTACTGGTACTTCCTGTATATACTGTAGCTCCACAGTGATCTGGTACTGTTACTTCCTGTATATAGCTCCACAGTGATCTGGTACTGGTACTTCCTGTATATAGCTCCACAGTGATCTGGTACTGGTACTTCCTGTATATAGCTCCACAGTGATCTGGTACTGGTACTTCCTGTATATAGCTCCGCAGTGATCTGGTACTCCCTGTATATAGCTCCGCAGTGATCTGGTACTGGTACTCCCTGTATATAGCTCCACAGTGATCTGGTACTGGTACTCCCTGTATATAGCTCCGCAGTGATCTGGTACTGGTACTCCCTGTATATAGCTCCACAGTGATCTGGTACTGGTACTCCCTGTATATAGCTCCGCAGTGATCTGGTACTGGTACTTCCTGTATATAGCTCCACAGTGATCTGGTACTGGTACTTCCTGTATATAGCTCCACAGTGATCTGGTACTGGTACTTCCTGTATATAGCTCCACATTGATCTGGAACTGGTACTTCCTGTATATAGCTCCACAGTGATCTGGTACTGGTACTCCCTGTATATAGCTCCGCAGTGATCTGGTACTGGTACTTCCTGTATATACTGTAGCTCCACAGTGATCTGGTACTGGTACTCCCTGTATATAGCTCAACAGTGATCTGTTACTGGTACTCCCTGAATATAGCTCCACAGTGATTTGGTACTGGTACTCCCTGTATATAGCTCCGCGGTGATCTGGTACTGGTACTTCCTGTATATAGCTCCACAGTGATCTGGTACTGGTACTTCCTGTATATAGCTCCGCAGTGATCTGGTACTGGTACTTCCTGTATATAGCTCCGCAGTGATCTGGTACTGGTGCTCCCTGTATATAGCTCCGCAGGGATCTGGTACTGGTACTTCCTGTATATAGCTCCACAGTGATCTGGTACTGGTGCTCCCTGTATATACTGTAGCTCCACAGTGATCTGGTACTGGTACTCCCTGTATATAGCTCCACAGTGATCTGGTACTGGTACTTCCTGTATATAGCTCCACAGTGATCTGGTACTGGTACTTCCTGTATATAGCTCCTCAATGATCTGGTACTGGTACTCCCTGTATATAGCTCCACAGTGATCTGGTACTGGTACTTCCTGTATATAGCTCCACATTGATCTGGTACTGGTACTCCTTGTATATAGCTCCATTCTTGTGTATTTTATTCTTCTTGTGTTACTATTTATTTTATATATTTTTTAACTCTGCATCGTTGGTAAGGGCTCATAAGCAAGCATTTCATGGAAAAGTCTACATCCGTTGTGTTCGGCGCATGTGACAAATACAATTTAATTTGATTTGACACACACACACACCATGTCATCACCATTGACCCTAGTGGAGGGGTTAAGGATGTGGTCAATGTTACGGTGGTTCATTACTGCAGGAGAGCTGTAAGAATGACAGATGCCAAGATGCTCTGGTCTACACTGGCTGGTATAGCCCTGGCTAGGTGTCAATGAAGTTGAATAGCATGCCTATTGATTATGTAGAGCTGTAAAAGCTCTGTGTGTGTGTGTGTTTGTGTGTGTCTGTCTGTCCTTGTGTGTGGTGCTCCTCTAGTGGGGTCTTGTCAGGCCCAACCTCAGGCTCAGGGCCAGCCTATAGCCAGGCAGATGGAGAGAGACCACCAGAGCACTGAATGGAACCAGGGCTGGAGGAGGGCTCAGGGGGTTAGGGGAAGGTCAAGGAGAGGGTCAGGGGTCAGAATGACCAGACGTGTGGTCAACAGGGAAGACAGTTTTACTGAAGGTCTGGAACTCTGAATAGATAGGAATGAGAGAAGGTGAAGGAAGGTGGTGAGGGTTGGTGACATAGTACAGTATGGCCGGTGATGGATTGGGGTTCAAACCCATTTTTATCTCTGTTACTCAAGGGGTGAGGGCCAATGAGAGGCATGAAAAGAAAGGGACCAGGTAGTAGGCCACCATAGGGCCATAGACCAGGACTGCATCCCAAATTTCACCTTATTTCCTATATAGTGCACTACTTTTGACCAGTGCCCATAGGGCTCTGGTAAAAAGTTGTGCACTAAATAGGGAAAAGGGTGCCATTTTGGATGCAACCCAGTGGTCAGAGAGCTGATAGATGGGGAGCTGAGGTCTGGCTTTATCTGCTGACAGGTCCTGTCTCTCTGTCCTCTCCTAGACTAGTCCAGTCTGCATCCCAAATGGCACCCTATTCCCTACATAGTGCACAACTTTTGATCAGAGCTACATAGGGCACAACGTTTGACCAGAGCCCATAGGGTAGTGTGCTATGTAGGGGATAGGGTGCCATTTGGGACGCTGCCCTAGTCTGGCCAAAGAAGGTCCAGAAATGCAAGCACAAGAGAATTTGTGTGGAGGTGGCCGATTCATCATGGCGATAGACATACTCACAGCACACAGACCTTACACACCGCTGAACTATTTTATTCAGTAACACCAAGGAGTTGATCGCGGACTATAGGAGAAAGAGGGGGTCGACAGCACCTCTTCCCCCTCAGGAGGCTGAAGAGATTTGGCATGGGCCCTCGGATTCTCAAAAAGATATACAGCTGCACCATCGAGAGCTTGGTATGCCGCTTGGTATGGCAAACGCACCGCCCTTGACCGCAAAGCGCTACAGAGGGTGGTGCGGACAGCCCAGTACATCACTGGGGCCGAGCTCCCTGCCATCCAGGACCTCTATATCAGGCAGTGTCAGAGGAAGGCCTGAAAAATTGCCAAAGACTCCAGCCACCCAAGCTATGGACTGTTCACTCTGCTACTGTACTGGAGCATCGGCTCTTGGACCAACAAGCTCCGAGACAGCTTCTACCCCCAAGCCATAAGACTGCTAAATAGACAGACTGCTAAATAGTCCATTTATGGTACCCGAACTATCTGCACTGACTCTAACTTGCACTGACCCTACACACACTAACTAGACTATACAGTATATACACACTCACTCATATACACTACATTGTCACTCCCATACAAAACCCACACAGATTCACACACATGCCCACACACACAAGCAGACTGATACAACACAAACACACATACATACACATTACACACACTATTACACTTTATTTTACTCGTGTTATTATCTATCCTGATGCCTAGTCACTTTACCCTGCCTTCATGTACATATCGACGTCAAATACCTTGTACCTCTGCACATTGATCTCGTACTGGTACTCCCTGTATATACACTACATGACCAAAAGTATGTGGACACCTGCTCGTCGAACATCTCATTCCAAAACCATGGGCATTAATATGGAGTTGGTCCCCCCTTTGCTGCTATAACAGCCTCCACTCTTCTGTGAAGGCTTTCCACTAGATGTTGGAACATTGCTGCGGGGACTTGCTTCCATTCAGCCACAAGAGCATTAGTGAGGTCGCGTTAAGATTTCCCTTCGATGGAAATAAGGAGCCTGAGCCATGAAAACAGCCCCAGACCATTATTCCTCCTCCACCTAACTTTACAGTTGGCACTATGTATTCGGGCAGGTAGCGTTCTCCTGGCATCTGCCAAACCCAGATTTGTCTGTTGGACTGCCAGATGGTGAAGCGTGATTCATCACTCCAGAGAACGCGTTTTCACTGCGCCAGAGTCCAATGGCGGTGAGCTTTACACCACTCCAGCCAACCCTTGGCATTGAGCATGGTGATCTTAGGCTTGGTGCGGCTGCTCGGCCAGGGAAACCCATTTCATGAAGCTCCTGACGAACAGTTATTGTGCTGACGTTGCTTCCAGAGGCAGTTTGCAACTCGGTAGTGAATGTTGCAACCGAAGACAGGTGATTTTTACGCGCTACGCGCTTCAGCACTCGGCGGTCCCGTTCTGTGAGCTTGTGTGGCCTACCACTTCGCAGCTGAGACATTTTTGCTCCTAGACCAGGGTTCCCCAACTAGAGGCCCGCGGGTGTTTTTATTTGGCCCCCCAAGTTTTCTGAGCAAAAAAAGTAATAATATGTTTTCTTTAATTTTAATTGTTGGACACAAAAGTCTGTAAAAACACCAGGAAATCAGCTTCAAGTGATTTTAATTTAAGAAATCTGTTCCCAAGTATTCCCACACATAATAGAGAGACACGTGGTCATATACAAATGTAGTCAAGGTTTGAAATGATTATGTTTTAGTCAAACATTATATCTGTTTGGGCTTCTTGCGGTCAACAAATTATTTGTAATTATGTTCCGGCCCCCCGAACATCCGCTCAACAAAAAATCAGCCCGCGGATAAATCTAGTTGATGATCCCTGTCCTAGACGTTTCCACTTCACAATAACAGCACTTACAGTTGACCAGGGCAGCTCTAGCAGGGCAGAAATTTGACAAACTGACTTGTTGGAAAGGTGGCATCCTATGATGGTGCCACGTTGAAAGTCACTAAGCTCTTCAGTAAGGCTATTCTATTGCCAATGTTTGTCTATGGAGATTGCATGGCTGTGTGCTCGATTTTATACACCTGTCAGCAACGAGTGTGGCTGAAATAGCCAAATCCACTAATTTGAACGGGTGTCCACATACTTTTGTATATATCGTGTAGCTCCATTCTTGTGTATTTTATTTTATTCCTTGTGTTACTATTTTATATTTTTTAACTCTGCATCGTTAGGAAAGGCTCGTAAGCAAGCATTTTCACGGTTGTATTCGGTGCAATTTAATTTGATTTGAACTTACATGCCCCCAGTGACAGCTTGAGTTACATGGCTATGGGAAGTTTTTGCACCTCATGGGTGCTGTTCGCCCATTGCCCTAACACACCTCCTCAAAGGAAGACTATTGTTAGTATAGCTCCTCAGAGACCTTCATTATTACCATCTATTGTCTTCTAGACACATGCTGGTGTTCATGTTATATAACCCTAGCAGTCTGTCACGACATCTATACAAATGGACTGAAGTTTCATGCAGAACAGAGGTGAATTTTAAATCAGAAAAGAAACTTGACTGCACATTCTTACGCAACATAAGCTCACAATCCTTTACAAACCATCCTGTTCTTTTTAACATCTGCTAGTTCTCTAGCTGTCTCTCTTCATCTTTACCTCCCTCCCTCCTTCGCTCACTTATTCCTCTGCCCAAATCAGGGATATCCCAGATGGCCCACGGTGAGATTACTGGACAGAGGGGTGTGTGTGGTGTGTAGTGTGTGTGTGTGTTTGTGGTGTGTGCGTGTGTGTTCCACTAATACCACTGTTCGATTGATCCTACAGTATGAAGCTATGGGTCGCCAACTAGAGTACCCTATTAGCTAACAGTAGTTATTTATTATTAGCTAACAGTAGTCAGCTTGTTAGCTAACTGGGATAAAGAGATAATTGAGGTTGTCGACTCATTGTCTACATGTCAGCTGAACATGTTGGGCCAAGTAATGTGTGAAGTTTCCCATGCTAGTACAGAAAATATGCACACACACACGCACACACGCATACACACACACACACACACACACACACACACACACACACACGCACACTTTAATCCTGACCCCTTTCTTCCCGCGACAGATGGAGGAGCTTGTCAGGGATTGCCGAGGAATTTAACTGAAGGGGTTAAGTGTGTGTGTATGTGTGTGTGATAACGTCACTTAATCCAGCATAACTGTTCTTTTATTACCTAGCTAGCATGCAAGCAGTGGATTCATCCATTCAGTCCTCCCTATCTTCTCTCAACCTTCATTAGTCTCTCTCTCTCTCTCTCTCTCTCTCTCTCTCTCTCTCTCTCTCTCTCATAAGAATCTTACCATTAATCAGACAGTAGAGATGTATCATTCAGAAAGTATATGCCAGGAAACTCAGAGTCTATTTTCTCTGTCTCTTCATTAGCTAAGTCTCTCTTTTCTCTGTCTCTTCATTAGGTTAGTCTCTATTTTCTCTGTCTTTCTTATCTTTTTTCTCTCTCCAGTATCTGACTAGCACTCAGTCATATAGTATGCCAAAAACTAAGTCACCAATTTCTATAGCCCCTATCTGTACTTGCCCTAGAACTTTTTTCATGATTTGTCTGCTCGATACGTCTGAGGAAAGACAAAGCCAAAAGCTTGTCTGTAAGCGTGGTATACAGTGATTTTGGTATTGTTTATGCATGTATGGATGGACTAGGGTTATGTTATCGTCTGACAAAATAGCTTTGATAAGACTGATACATGTGTGTGTGTACATCTGTGTGCGTGTGTGTGTGTGTGTGTGTGTGTGTGTGTGTGTGTGTGTGTGTGTGTGTGTGTGTGTGTGTGTGTGTGTGTGTGTGTGTGCGCTCCTTAGGGAATAGGGCTATATCAGTAACTTTAATGAGAATCAGCAGGATGCTGCTTTTGTAGTTGTAGAAGAGCTGCTGCTTTGATCTGCTATGCCCTCTGATTCTTCTGTTACTCAGACTGGATGTTAGATATAGAGACGGAGGTTATATTATTAAAGCGCTGTCATCTGTTCCCTGTTTTAGTTGTTTTAAAAGGCTAAACCTCTTGTCTTGTTCTGATAAGGATGAGAAACATTGGGAGTCTGATTAAAGCCAGATTTATACCCTACGCAAGTACGTAATGCAAGAGCGCAATTAGCTACGCGAAATGGCGTTCCTGCATAGTTGCGTTGAGTAACAAATTCTGTCATTTCCAAAGGGGCCGATGGATGGTCTTATCACTGTGGTAGGCCTAGTACAGTACACACATAATTTGTCAGGGCTCGTCTCAGCTTAG